ACTAATGATACTCTATGGTTTCTTTCATCGTTCCTACTACTTTTCGGGTAAGTGTCTGACCAGCAAGCACAATAATCTGGAACACAGCTCAGATCCAGGTATGAGGTAAAGGCATGTGAACTATTAAAACAGAAGTCACAAACTCCTCAAAGATATCAAAACCTTTTTTCAAAGCAGAGCCCTCCAGGATCTGACTCACAGACTTTCTTTTTAAAAACCTAGTTCTAGTAACTCCACTGCAGATTTAAAGCACCTACACTGACTATAAGTGACAAAGAGCCTGATACTAGAAAGTAAGTGAAAATATCTCCAACATACTTCAAACTTCTGTGGGGGCACAATTACTGAGCATAATTACTGATGCTCAGGATTATGGCTCTGAATAAGCAATAAAAAGTTTTATTAACAATTTTCAGTGTCTTCTACCTAAGAACATAGGCAGTATATATTATATTTTAGAATAATTTTCATACACAAAGTCCTACACATGGAATTCTGCACACCGATCCTGTGAGATATTATTCTTATTTTACACATGAGAAAACCAAAGTGCAAAAAGACTAAAACACTTGCCTAAAGTCACACATGCTTGAAGACAGGTTTTGACTCCAAAGCTCAACTTCTTTCTAAATTTTTCTCTAAATGTTTCTTTATTTTGAGAGAGAAAGAGAAAGAGAGAGCAGGGGAGGGGCAGAGAGAAAGGGAGAGAGAATTCTAAGCAGGTTTGTTGCAGTTAGCACAGATGTAGGGCTTGATCTCACAAACCGTGAGATCGTGACCTGAACTGAAATCAAGAGTCAGACGCTTAACCGACTGAGCCACCCAGGCCCCCCTTAGCTCATCTTTTTCTAACCATATAATGCCCCCCCCCAATCAATTGACGCCTCATGGCACAAGATTCAGTTATCTATAAAAAGTACCTAAGTTAGACCTCTTCATAACCTGATATCAAATCAGGTAGATTCCATGATGAAGAGCCTTAAGGAACAGGGCATACATTTGGACTCCTGAGAAAATGGCAGAAGTTATAAGCAGTATCTTAAAATAAAGAAATGAAGCTAGCTGAAAAAAAAAATCTGTTATCAGTCATATTACTAAATTTGAAAGATTTAATTCTCTCATATTTCAAACATGATATGGTTGTATATTTTAAAAAAAAACGCAAATTGTAGACATTTTATATTTTAAACTATTTATAAATTCCATTTTATGTCTGTGTTAATCTATCTTACTTGTGTCTCCATACCCATTATCTGTGTTACCATATGATTAGGTACAAGGAGGAAGTGAGGAAGGATACAAACCAGGAGAGAAACATGGGTTATCCAACATGTGTGTATATGGAAAATGATCTCGTTGACAGGGTCAGGGGAGAGAAGGCAATCAGAACAACAAAATACTGCCTGCATATGATTTCATTTACGTAAAATTATGTTTGTGATGAAATGAGGAAAAAACAAACACACAAAACAAGAATGTCTTACACTGAATCTTACTAATCTGATCTTCACAATACATTGTTAATACAAGAATGTATTACACTGTTAAACAAGAATGTCTTACACTGAATCTTACTAATCTGATCTTCACAATACATTGTTAATACAATCTTGTATTCACAAGATACTATTTCATTAGAACCTACCACCTAACCTAATTTCAATACCTGTGTATTTTAGACGTGTATGTATTTATTTGGGCAGGAGGCTAATGTGACAGAACGCACACTCTAGAACGTGAACACTGGTCACCTGGAGGTGAGGGCAGAGTGGGGCCTAATGATTAGCCTTCATTTTACACATCTTTGTATTGATCGTTTAATTTGTGTCAGCAAGCATAATTTATTTTGTAGTAAAAATATTAACGAAAAATTTAAGAGCATATAGAGGTTGCAGACACAAAATAGTAACATTAAGGCCAATAACTGTACATAATTGAGAATAATATATATGTACCAATACATATGTGTAAGTTGGCCTCTGTCATTAAAGAAGTGTATTCAATTCACTATGCATTTACCGAGCTTCTACCCTGGGCTAGGCCCTGCTCTAGGTGCTGAAATATTCAGACAAACCTCTGCTCTGCATGTAAACACACTGGAATATGTAAATAAAATATAATTTATAGAACAAATCTAGATTTATGAAGGAATGGTCTCTATAATATTAGCCCTTGGATTGTAATACAATGATCTAATTAATAAATGCCAACAGTTGATCTTTACATTGGAAATCTGAAATATTATAGCAATTTGCTTATTAAATATTGCCCAGAATCACCAATAAAATTTCAGTAAAGAATGCTGTTACATTTTTTAAAATGCTGTTATAGTTAAAAATTTTTTTTTAATTTAAAAATAAAAAAAAAATAACATTAGTTACAGATGTTTTCCACTCAAAGGTATCCTTAATCAATTCTGTGTACAACTTATACTCCTACCTAATAACTAGCATAAAAGGTATCAGGATAAAAGTGTGACAGGATACACATTCTTGCTTTATGTGCCATCCATTCCATTTCTCACATTGGTAATCTGTAGTTGGAAGAGATCAATGTAGTTTGTTACATAGTAACCAATCACTACTGTCAATTTACAGCTAGCTTATTTCAAACTTATCTTACTCTTCTCTTCTAGGTCTACGCACTAAACTGAGTAATTCCCAAAAGTTTTTCTCAAGATTAAAGTTGGAGGGGAATCTCACTTCTCTTTTAATTGCTGGGCTTCCAAGCTATTCCTCAGGCCAAGGCCAGCTCCCCATATTTTTATTTTCTTGTGGAAGCAGGACCAGGAACTAAAAGTTCGTATGGTTCTTTCCAAAGTGTAGTTATTAGCATTCTACTTGACGGTTTTTAGATCCTGCCACCATTTTTTTTTAAAGTTTATTTTTATTTTTGACAGAGAGAGAGAGCGCGCGCGAGAGCATGAGTGGGGGAGGGGCAGAGAGAGAGGGAGACACAGAATCTGAAGCAGGTTCCAGACTCTGAGTTGTCAGCACAGAGCCCGATGCGGGACTCAAACTCACAAAACGCAAGATCATGACCTGAACCGAAGTCAGACGCTCAACCGATTGAGCCACCCAGGCGCCCCATCCTGCCATCATTCTTAAAATAAGGTTGAATTTAGGGGTGGGTAGTACAGAGCTGTGCTCTTTCCCATCTGTAGACATTCCCAGGGCCAGCTCCCTCGGAAGTCGAGACAAGATTGCTTTTGTTTCAAAGGAATGATAAATATAACAAACATGGGAAAGTTTTTATAAAGTCTAAGCCATCTTTATAGGTCCTTTTAGACTTGGTCTTCTTTCAAGAAAGCCCCTCTACCCAGCATGCAAGCCTACAAAACTTACAAAAGCAGGGGTCCTTTGATCTCAAATAAGTCACTGTATTAAGTAATATCCCCTTCTCTCAGCTTCTGCTCTACAGTGGAATGATTTCTTTGGTAATTTTCTCTCAGGTCAACAAAACGTTACACTTTGGTTCAAAAAGCAGATAATTCACAGCCATTCTCACACCATCCATTTCACTTGTGTTAGCACAAAATTCTGCTTCTGACATCCTGAACTGGCATTACAGACCCCAAATTTACATAAATCAGAAAAAGAAGTTCAGATTGGGAGCATTTCTCCTTATTTACAGAATTTAAACTTACACAACAAATGGGAAATTTAACACAGTATACATTTCTTTTTTTAATTTTTTAACGTTTATTTTATTTTTGACAGAGAGAGAGACAGAGAGAGAGAGAGACAGAGCATGAGTGGGGGAGGGGCAGAGAGAGAGGGAGACACAGAATCTGGAACAGGCTCCAAGCTTCGAGCTGTCAGCACAGAGCCCGGTGTGGGGCTTGAACATGCAGGGACAGTAAGATCATGACCTGAGCCAAAGCTGGATGCTCAACTGAGCCACCCAGGCACCCCAAACACAGTACACATTTCTATTTTCAGTGTGTAGCTGCTCTACCTCAAAGACACAACCAACTTGCTGATTAAAAATCCTGGGCCTCTTCAATCTGTGACAGTCACAGAGCTGGAAAGGGCAAGGAAATAAGCGAATCCTCTGTGTGTGTGTGTGTGTGTGTGTGTGTGTGTGTGTGTGTGTGTGAGAGAGAGAGAGAGAGAGAGAGAGAGAGAGAGACAACAGATGAAATGAGAGCCATGACTGAGGAAATATGTGAGTTCCTATGTGTGTGTGTTGTGTCTGGTAACAAATACGAGAGCCAAGTCTCCATTCTCCCAAGCAGATTCAATGAAACAAGTCTGTCAATCCTTTTCTCACCCCTAAATATCATCACCGGTAACCATAACCGGTGCCAACCTCTTACCAGCAATGAAAACTTAGGTCTTCCTTCTTGAAAAGAGCAATGCAGTCCCTCTGGCAACCTTACAGGGATGTCATGAGAATAAATCAAAGACTGTAATACTTTCTGAATAATGGACTAAAGTTACCCAATTCAAAGGAAGATTACTATTTATATCACATTAGGCTTATCAGAGAAGCTTCTGTTCTTCCAAGTTGAAGCAGCTAAAGAAGTAGTTTCATAACTTGCTTTTACACAGAGCTATTATCATTTGCTTCTTCTATATGCCTGTCTGCTCTTATTGATGAAAAATGAGTTCCCTGTAGCCTGAAAAATTTCAGTTAAGAAATTTTGCTGCTAAGGTTATACACAAGAAATATTCTCCCCTGACTCCTTACAAAAACCTTAAATATTAAATGCTCCAAACTCCAAGGTCTATGGCCAACTACTGGTTAAGAGGAGAATTGCCTACTTTTAGGCACATCAGAGACGATTTGACTCTTGTTCAGTTTACATATGAAATGTTTTGTATATACTGATTCTGTTAAAAGAACTATTAGAAAAGTAGACTGTATCATAGTTTTTCTATTCTATATTAGACAATCACTTCAGGTCATGCTCTTTACTCAATTTTAAAATTAGCAACAGACCATAATCATGATAAACAATGAGAAGCTATAGGATTAGGTTTCTTGGTCATACTCACCTTAAATTACTTTGCTGACCAGGAGGAATGACACTATAGTAAACCGGCATTCCTGTTGTGGGCATAGATCCTTGATTAGACTGATTAGGGAACATAACAGGCTGCTGATAAGTCTGATGGGCAATTCCTTGAGAACTTTGAGGCAGTGAAACCTAAAATTTGAAAGACAATTTAAAGGGAAAAAGGTTCTTCAAAATTTGGCAAATGTTAATGTCTCCAGCCTCCATAAACTTTTCCAGTATCAACATTTAGGAATAAGCTAAAACTGCCAGTCGGCTGTCATGATAAATTAGCTACAGTACCACAACTTTATTTCTGTTCTTTTCAGCCAGCTATTATTTTTGGCTAGCCTTTATCAGTTGTATAGTAGGCTAGATGTATTAGGTTGTAAACATAAAATGTGACTTATGTCCTTAAGTAAAACTTGTTTTAAAAAAGAAATGGTTTCCAGAGGCACCTGAGTGTTGCAGTCAGGTAAGTGTCTGACTCTTGATTTCAGCTCAGGTCATTATCTCAGTTTGTGGGTACAAGCCTCGGGTCTGGCTCTGTGCTGACAGTGCGGAGCCTGCTTGGGATTCTCTCTCTCCCTTTTTCTCTGCTTCTTTCCCACTCACATGCACTCTCTCTCTCT